CCAATCAACAAACTATGAATCCATCTTCCCTGAGTAGAAAATTATAACTCCAACAAACTTCCAAGATGGCCATAGAACTCTTGCCTGGAACCTCTGACTGAACAAGTATCTTGGACCCAATTTAAAGTCTGGCACCTCCACTTCACTGTAACACCTGACGCAGGTCCCTTTACCTATATGATCTGACCTTTCCTCATTTGTTAAAAGGGAATCTCACTACCTACCTCATGAAAGTGTCTGTAAGAATTAAATGAGATCTTTGTAGGGACTGCATTGAGTAGGCATTTAGCAAATGTCCAGCAATTCTGGAAGGTTGAACTAGTGTTAAACAGTAGTTTTCCTGGCAGAGGAAATAGTCTATGCTGAATTGTCAACCCCGACTTTTGTATTTTTCTTGATGATACTAGGGGGTTGGAGTGGAGAGTATAATTCATGACCCCAAACAGTAAAATTTTCATTTGGTACTCATACCTTCAGCTTAGTCGCACCAACTGATGTAACCAGCTCTCGTTCACAAATATGGCTCTGAAAGAACCCATTGAACCTCTTCATAGTTGATTAGAACTGGAATTGGAACACAGGCCATGGGATGGGAAAAAGAAGGTGCAGTGAAGAGCCTAGCCACATTTGGGATGGAATCAAAGGATTTGATGAATACTTCACATACAGGCTGAAGGCAAGATAAGAATAGTGCCCCCAAGTGCCTAACTTGGAGACTAAATGCACGGTTTATTCATTCAATGAATTACCTGTTGTGCACCTATGAAGGATCAAGCATGGGTTAGCAAATGAAACAGAAAAATTCTCTGCCTGTGAGGCAGGACAGTGGTGCAACTGTAACTCAATGCTCTGCAAGACTGGCCCACATAGGAAAGATCCAAGTGAGTATCTGGAAATCTCCCTGAACATGCCAGACATAGGCATGTCCATGATCCAGAGCTGGCTAAAGCTATGGGGTGTTTCATAGCATCAAGAGCCTATTGGGGGGACCAGCAGATGGTATAATGGCTACATCACTAGACTCCCACATAGTCGACCATGGTTTAAATCCCAGACTGGCAGCTTGAGACTCACACCAGCATGTGTGCATGCATGCCCAAAATTCCAAGAGGAGAACAGAGAAGGGATTGTGGTATGGCCATCCCCCCTGGGGGTGATTCTCCCTTTCTAGATCTCTGTCTCTGTGAGCACACACACCCTATAGCAAAAATCTCTCTCTCAAAAAAAAAAAAAGATCCTATGCTTTTTTTTCTATGCCTTACTCTGTCTCTTTCTGTCTCTCTCACTCGTAGAAGAAAAAAGAAACATTTTACTAAAAACCCTCTAAATAAATAAAGAAAACCTCTGCTTTTTGGAGCTTTCTTTCCAATAGAAAAGATAGGCATTAAATAAGTAAACAAATAAGTCAATTTCTGATCATAATAACTGTGACATAGAAAATAAACAGGGTAATGAGATGCAGAGTAAGAGGGTACAGTCTATTTTAGATATGATGGCCAGAGAAGCCCTCTCTCAGGAAGTAATGTGTGAGCTGAGTGGGTCTTGACAGATGGGAAGGAGCCAATGGGTGAGAGGAGGGGAAGCATTCAGGAAGACCAGCAGGGGCAGAGACCTTGGGGTCAGAAAAGGCTAGGAGTGCTGAAGAAACTAAAGATAACATTGAAAGGCCTACATCTGGAGTGCAATAAGAAAGAGAAGAACAGGCAAAAGAAGAGACTGGAGAGGGGCCAGCAGGTGGCATAGTGGTTAGGTGCTGGACTCCCATATGGCAGACTATGGTTCAAGTCCTGGTGACATGAAAATCATGCTGGGCACATGTACAAGTATGCCCATGCTCCCAAGAAGAGAATGGAGGACAAGGGATGGCAGTGTGGCCAACTCTCAGAGGGCGGGAGTGATTTCTCACTTTCCCTCTCTCTGTGTTCCTCTCCCCCCCCCTCTCTCTCTCTCTCTCCAGCAAGAGCATGTGCCCTGAGGCAAAAACTTAAAGAGAGAGAGACTGCAGAAGTGTGCAGAGCTCATTGGTCAAGAACTGAGGCTTGGGAAGCTGGTTCCTGGAAGATGTGGGTTCACCTTTGAAGACAGGTTGAGTTACAAGCCCCTGGGGGAGTGCTCCAAACTGAAGATCCAGGATGACATTCTCAGAAAAATGAGACAACACTGGAATTTGAGAAATTGTTCAGTTGCATCAAAATCACTATGGAGTGTTCGAAAAACACAAATTCCTTAGGCATTAAAAATACGGATTTGAGGGCCCGGCAGGTGACATGATGGTTGAGAAGTTGGACACCCAGATGGCTGACCATGGTTCAAATCCCCAGACCTAGAGACTTGCTTTCTTACTTTCCCTTTTTCTCTGTATCTATCTCTCTATGGGCAAATTAAATAATAATAAGAGTAATAAATAAAATTGAATAAATAATTCTTTAAAAACAATACAGATTTGGATAGGCCCTCTACCACTTAGTGGTAAAGGGAGCTGAGTACCACATAGCTGACTGTGGTTCAAGTTCCCACCCCAGTGACTTAGAAAACATGTTAATTACATGTGTATGTGTGTGCACATGTGTGTGTGCCAAAAAACCCAACAGGATAGAGAATGGAGGAAGGGATTCTGGCATGACCACGCCCCCACTGGAAGGGTGCTTTCACCCTCTTCCTCTCTCATTTCTCTCTCTCTCTCTCTCTGGCAAGCACACATGCCCTCTGGCAATAATATACATACATAAATAAATAATTTAAATAAACAAATACTTTCTAGGATGCCACCCTGGGAAAATCTAATTCAAGTAAGTCTTTGCCAGGACCTGGAAATCATCTTTTTTAATACCTCTGGATAAATCTGGTCCATTCATTGAAGAAATGTTTCTTGCATTCCTACTATGTGTCAGGACACTCTAAGTGCTGGGACAAAGCGATGAACAGGTTAAAGAGCTTTTAGTCTAGAGAAGGAACAGGCGATGAACAAGTAAATCAATAAATTAAGACAGTGACACACGCCACCAAAAAAAATTAAAAAGCCAAATAAATATAGAATAAGTACAGACCCAATGCTTGATAAATCCAAGGAGATGACCTCTCTTTAAAGAAGTGACTTTTGAACTGGCAAGAGGAAGGAGGAGGAGCCACATGACTGCCTGGGGAATAGCATTTCAGGCAGAGGGGATGAATGGAAAGACTTGACTGAGAACTCAGGAGAGCAATCGAACCTTTTGGTTATTCCCACTTGATTAACCAACCAAAATGGGGGAGGGGCATGGTGGAGAAAGTACGATTTCATCTTTGCGTGTCCACCTAGCACGAAGCACAGAACCTCGTACCAGGCACTGTGACGGGACTGGACAGAAAGATGACCAAGATGAATCCCTCTTTGCAGTCCAGTGAAGGAGGCAGGTAACCAAATATGGCCCCGAGAGAGAAGTGAGAACATCGCAGACCATCAATATGCGTTCTGAGAAAACCAAGCAGATGACTAATGCTTTCGAGTATGATGATGTGAGCGATTGTTTTTGCGATTGCACGTGATAAAATCACTTTCCTTTGTGGTCCTGTTAGCTCAGAACATCTGGGGTGTAGGTGAAGTATTCGCAACCATGGATCTTAGGTTTGAGGTGGTATAATCAACCACATTTGGGAGCAGTAGCACCCTCATACAGCTTACATGTATCGAGCACTTAGATTCCACCTGGCTTAATGCGCAGTCTCAAATAGTCTCCATGATGTCCCCATGAGGAACTATTACTCCTTTTTCGCAAGAATTGGGACTCAGCAAGGTGAAGGGACTGTCCTGAGGTCACTCAGCTCAGCTGTGACAACCCTCAGTTCTGCCTGGGTTCAGAGTCTCAGTTCTGGTCCACACTGCCTCTCACGAAGGCCTTAGACACTGATGCAACTGCCACCCTAACCCCAGTTCCTAAATCGACCCCCTCCTCCTCCCCACCCCAGTGATCTGCCTGGGTTGCCTACCAGTCAGTCGATCTGTGTTTCTCTCCCGGGGGCCCGTAGGAGAAAAGCTGGAGAGGAGAATTCTTTTTCCACACTTGGGGACAGTTAGGGAGCACCAGGACAGGCCCTGACTGGGCAGTGCCCACTGACTCACCACCCTGACTCCAGTCTCTTGACCCTCCTGTGGAGTGTGGGTAGCTGAGGCCAAAGCTGTGCACCTGGCTCCCTGCCCACCTGTGAGGGAGCAGAGGTTATCTGGGCTCCATGTTCAATATCAGAGTAGAAGGGGGCGGAGCAATGAAATGTCCCAGGAGGCAGACCATTCAGGTAAAATGTTGAAGTTTAGAGGAAGTTTATGTCACCCAGATAGAAAGGGTGAGTCTTAGGACCAGCAGATGGCAAAGTGATTATGTCGCTGAACTCCCACATAGTCCATGGCGGTTCCAGTCTCGGACCGGCAACTTAAACTCACCCCAGCGCCTGTGTGTGCGTGCCCAAGATCCCAAAAGGAGAATGGAGGAGAAGGGATTGCATAGTGGTCATCCCTCCTAGGGAGTGATTTCTCTCTGTCTCTCTGGTGGCGAGTGCTCAGACCCTATAGCAAAAAAAAAAAAAAAAAATCTCTCTCGAGAAAAAAAAAAAAAAAAGGATGAGTCTTGTCCTGTCTAAACGTATTTGAATTCAGTGGTTTTAAAAAATAAACTGGTCATTTTTACCCCACAGGTTGGCCACTCTGGAACTTAAAGGGCCTTGGCTTCTTCCTTCCCTGAACCCCTTTTATTCCAGACTTCTCACTGTGTGTCTGTGCGTCTGTCTGGTGTTCTCTGGGTGTGTGTCAGGAGCAGTGTCTTCCTCTGCTGTGTCTGGTTGCTCAGGTTGGCAGGCTCCCTCACTTCTCCCCGCCTCCCCTTCCTCCCTTTCTCCCTCCCTCTTTGTAGGGAGGCTCTTGGCCCAGGTCCCTGAGCCGGGGCGGGAGCAGGCAGAGGATGCAGGAGGGGTGAAGTCACGTCTCCCTTGAACCCCACACCGCTGGCTTTTCAGAGCCTCGCCAGGAACCCGAGGCCAGAGCCCCAGACAGCGCCGACAGTGCGCTCCTCCACCCTCCCAGCGCCACCGGCCTCGCCCATGTCTCAGTACGCGCCCAGTTCGGACTTCAAGAGGGCTTTGGACAGCAGTCCCGAGGCCAACACTGAGGATGACAAGACCGAGGAGGACGTGCCCATGCCCAAGAACTACCTGTGGCTCACCATCGTCTCATGTTTTTGCCCCGCGTACCCCATCAACATCGTGGCTTTGGTCTTCTCCATCATGGTGAGTGAGTTGAGGCCAGAAGCAGACAGAAACGACCTGGGGCGGCACTGTGCCCTTCCTGGGGACACACCGCGCTCTCCGTAGCCCCGCGCGCTAGGAGTTCTTTGCCCCTCTGCACCTCCTCCCCTTCTTCCTCAGCTTCTCGAAGCTTTACCCAACCCTTGGCAGCTCCTCTGCGCGGGGCTCAGCCCCGACCAAGCCTCCTCCTGGTTAACTTTCCTCCTTTCTGCAGCGCCCGCGGTGCGCTGTCTCTCCAACCCCGAGGATTTCTCGCGTGTGCTTTGCTGCTTCTGTCTGTCTCCTCCGACGCGCCTAGGTACTTGCCCTGGTCTTCTCAACCCGGCTTTCGAGGGCCCCACTGCCGCGACCCTAGCGGACACCTCTCTGTGAGCGCGCGGGCTCTCCATCCCCTTCACGGCTGCGCCGCGCACCCGGCTTTCCGCGCCCGGGGCTGTCTCGGTCTCCGCACACGTCCGGCTCTTTGCTGCGCCCGGGACACCCTCCAAGGGTCCCCCAGGCGATTCCCGACGACCGCCCCTATACCCCGGTCCCGCGCTTTGGGATGGCACTCTCTCCGAAACAGCTTCTCCTTTTTCCCTCTCTCTATCTCTCTGTCTCTCTCTCTGTCTCTCGCCTCTCCTCAGCATCCCTTTCCTGACTGAGCACCCAAGGCTGACTCACACCGGCTCTTTCTCTCCTAGCCCTGCTTGGGCTCCCCCACGCCCCTTTCCCCAGTAACGTGCATGCTCGCCCCTCTCACTTTCTATCCCCACCTCGCCGTAGTTCCTCTACCATTTGCTGCGCACTGAGCCTATCCCCGCCCTCTTGGCTTCCGGGTGGGCTCCCAGGCTCCGCTCCATCGCTCTGGCCTGCTCCCGGGGCGCTCCAGTGAATGCGCCCCGCACCGCCTCGGCACTGGCCTCGGCATCTGCGAGCCTCTCTAGGAGGTGCCTGGGTCCGCTGTCCCGGAGCTCAGCTCCAAGGCCCTCTTCAACCCTCGTGTGAACTCCGAGGCGAACCCCACCACGAGGGCAAGCGCCCGCGAAGTCCTCGCCTTATTGACTGGAGCAGCTGGCCCGGGGGTGGCGGCGGGGTGAGGTTCCGACCAACGCTGTCCCGGGACAACCCTTGCAAGTGCGCTCCTCCCCCACGGCCCATCTCGCCTGGCTGGGCCGCGGAACCCCAGGGCCCCAGAAAGGGAGAGTCGGATTCAGCGCAGTGAGGACTGTAAGCTAGCCCTCCTCCACACGTCAGGGCCGTCAGGGCCCACCACGTTTGCCCACAGGTGGCACCAAATCCCCTTCGTGGGTACCCAGGAAGCCTCCCTATGCACCCACTGGCCCATTCCCAAACCCCGTTTGTAGGCTGGATCTGCACCAACATTCCAGTGCACAAACACTTTAGGTCCCCCTACCTGGGTTCAAATCCCAGTTCCACTACTCGCTAGTGCATAATCTGATGCAGGAAATCACGGCATCTCTCTGAACCCCAGTCTCTGTAAAACGGGAATAATCATAGCCATATTTCTTAGAGTCGTGAGCATTAATAACACTTTAAAGGCTAAGAATGGTCCTCGGCCTGGTGGTAGTACTAATAGATCTTTACTCAAATCTCACTTGTGGGGCCTTCTCTGATCACTGTTTAAAAAAAAAAAAACAATAACAACTATATACAAACGGTTCAAGTTTTCCTTCCTGCTGTTTTTTGGCCAAAGCACTCCTCTCCATCTGATGCATTATTTCATTTATTAATATGCTTACTGTGTGTTCCCGCAATAGAATATACTCTCAATGAGGGCAAGGATATTTATCGATGTTGTTGTTGCCATACCCTCAGCACCCAGGAGAAAACTGGCATGTGGTAGATGCTTCATCAATAGCATGAAAGGAAAGCATGCGTGACTGAGGTGTTAATGGATCACATCCGCTTTATTTCTGTTGCTTTCTTTCCATCCTGGAGCCCCAGAAGCCATTGCATCAGGTTTCTTAGGACCAACCAGCCAATTTCCTCCCTTCCTTCCTCTCCCCAGATATCCGGTCTTAGGGTTTTTTGCAGAGAGGCTGGAAGAGGTAGAGCAGCCAGATTCTCCAGGCAGCGGCAGACTCTCTGGCTGGCACTGCTGCCCACAGTCTGTCCTGATTTATTAATGATGCAGCCGATTCACCCCTTTCCCCCATGCCACCTGGAGAACTGCCAACGAAGGCTTTTCCCCTCATTGGTCTGAGGTCAGCTAACACTTCAGCTGGTGGTGACAGGCTGGATGCTAATGATGTCACTGGGTGTGCCCCCCGGGGTATGAGGGAGTATGAGATTTGTAGATGCCTTGAATAGTAATCTCAGTTTTCCAATCCCTTCATCCTCAATCCCTCTCTCAAGCCTTTTTCAATAGTGTTATGAGGGACCAGCAGTTAGCATAATGGCTATGTTGCTGGACTCCCATGTAGCCAACCGCAGCTCAAGTCCCGGACCCGGTGGCTTAAACTCACACCGGGCGTGTGTGTGTGTGTGCCCAAGATCCTGAGAGGAGAATGGAGGAGAAGGGATTGCGGTGTGCCCATCCCCCCTGGGAGGTGATTTCGTGCTTTCTGTTTTTCTGTCTCCCTCTCTCTTTCTGGTAAGTGTACGTGCCCTATAGCAAAAACCTCTCAAAAAAACAAAAAAGTGTTCTGAGACCCCACTCTGCTGTAAGAACTACTAGAGACAGAAAGTTGACCGAGGGCAAATTTCATACCTTTTTAAGATCTTAGTTTCTTCCTCTATAAAATGGGAGTGTGGAAGGTTTTTAATTGAGCGAAATTGTTGCAGGGATAGACAAAATATAGCATGTCAATCCCTGGGTACATGCAGTTGTCAGATGGATGGATCTGGAACCTGGAGGCAGCACATGTCACACGTGAAAACACACAGAACATCAAATGAGTGAAACCCAGATTCCAAAAAGTGCCTTCCACACATCCTTATTGCACACTCATTAAGGTACTGCAAGTGTTTTTCTATTGATACAACACAGACCTCAGCTTAATCAGCACCATCATGGGACCAGCAGATGGGTTGTTTTTGTTAGGACCTTTGGTTTAACAACTTGAATTAGACGTAGTCTGGATCTCCAGTGATCTAGGATGGAAAGGTCTTGGGCGGTAGTTTGAATTCTAGATCCCTAGAATTCTAGAACCAAGTGTCAGTGGCCATCCTCCCCTATGTCACGGTGACAGGGGGAGGGTGGCCACAGACAGGGCCTGCTTGGGTGACATGCATATCTATGAGCCTAGAAGAGAGCCTTCGAGGACGAAGGAAAGTTTCATTCTGAAGTATCTGAACTCTCGCCATGACGCACCTTGGTGTTTATCTTATTTCATTCATTTTACTGGATATTGCGGGATCCTTTTAATCTAGAAACTCACACATTCAGTTCTGGGAAATTTTTCTTATTTATTTGATCATTTCCTCTCTGCAATTATTTGTTTTTTTATTTTTCTGGAACTTTCTGATTAGATGTTCTATTTCTGAGAATAATTCTCAAATTTTATTATGTTTTCTTGACTATTAATGAGAGAATATGTTCTTCTTTTTTATTATTATTATATACTATATGTCATATGAAATTTATCAGTACCAGGACCAGCAGATGGCATAATGGTTATGTTGCTGGACTCCCATATGGCCAACTGCAGTTCAAATTCTGGACCTGGCAGCTTGAAACTCACCCTGGGTGTGTGTGCATGTGTGCCCCAAATCCCGAGAGGAGAATGGAGGAAAAAGGATTGCTGCATGGCTATCCCCCGTGGGAAGTATTTTTTGCTTTCTGTCTCTGTCTTTCTGGTGAACGTACATACTCTATAGCACAAAACAAACAAACAAAATCAATACCATTTTATAACCATTTTTAAGTATACAACTAGTGGCGTTAAGAACATTTGCACTGTTGAGTAACCATCACTGCTATCCCTCAGAACTGAAAGTCCGTACCCATAAAACCGTAATTCCTTATTTCTCCCTCTCCTACCCCTGGAAACTACCATACTGGTTTCTGTCTCTCTAAGTTTAACTACTCTAGGTACTTCATATAAGTGGAATCATGTTTTTCAAGCCACAGGGCTGGCTTCATTTACTTAACACAATGTCTTCATGCTTCATCCAAGTCCTAGCACATGCCAGAATTTTCTTCCTTTCAAAGACTGATTAACATTCCATTATTTGTTTAGACCACTTTCTATTTATCTTGTATTTATCCATTCATCATCCACTTGGAGACTTGGGTCCCTTCCTAATTTTCCTGTGGTATTGGCTGCCTTTGCATTATTTTTCTTTTTTTTTTTTTTTTTTTTTTTTGCTACAGGCACGTGCGCTTGCCAGGAAGACAGAGAGAGACAGAGAGACAGAAAGCGAGAAATCACCCCCCAGGGGGGATGGCCACACCACAATCCCTTCTCCTCCATTCTCCTCTCGGGATCTTGGGCACGCACACACACACACCCAGAGCGAGTTTAAGCCACCAGGTCCAGGACTCGAACCACAGTCAACTACATGGGAGTCCAGCGACATAGCCATTATGCCAACTGCTGGTCCCTAATTTTCCACCTTTTAAAGTCTCCTTCCTTCCTTTTTATTGCCAAAGGGTGCTTGTACTCACCAGAGAGAGAGAGAGAGAGAAAGTATCCCCAAGTAGAGTGTGATCATGCCGCAATCCCTTTCCTCTATTTCTCCTTTCCATCAGGATTTTGGGTACACACACACACACACACACACACACACACACACACACAAATATGCCTGCTGTTTTTTCAAGCCAGTGGATATGAGATTCGAACCATGATCGGCCTTATCAGATCCAGCTCTGGAGGCACTGCAGCTTAACCACTGTGCTACGGGGCCAGCCCTTTATTACTTTCTTGAGCTTCCCTCAACTTTAACTTTCAGTCCTCCAGTCTCCTGTCTGTAAGGGAGCAAAGGAGGGGCAGCAGCCTCTTTGTTCAACATGCCGACTTTCCATTCAGCCCATT